CAAAATCAATGCTCGATACATTCTTCTGAATTCAATCGACTCTTTCAATGCGTTCGACTGAATCTCAATTAGAATAAATCGTAACTTTTCTACGAAGGACTTATTTTTAGCAAATTACCTTATAAATGTCCAATTTACCTGTGTCGCTAACAAGTGTCGTTAACGAACGTTAATTACAGAATTTATGAAACGATAAATTGCGACAAGCTGCTTACAGCAGATCTTTAGCACTAGATTTACGGATGTTCGATTAAATTGAAGTAGAAAAAGAAATAAATTAGGACTCACCCTGTACAGTGGTTCTTCGTCATAAAGTCAAAATTTTTATAAAAATTTCTCGATAACTTTTGCGATTTAAAATAAGACCCGTCAGAGTTCAGTGAGTCAATAAATAAACGTACCATCTCGATTTTCATTTAATTCGCAAAGAAAGAAGTGAAAAAACATCCGAGCGATACTTTCCCAGCAATATTCTTGCGGAGCAGCCGAATCTAGACAGGTACTTGGAACGAAAACTCACCGGTACTCAAGAAACAACCCTTACCGACGATTTCAACCCCCTGGATCTCGAACACGAGGACAGATTCATCCACCGTAGCGAGCCATTTCCCTTAACTACCCCTCGAGAGGTCTGGCCACGCTTTTATTTTCATTCACCAGCGTCGCAGACTCAAGGGTGGCACGGAATTGCGTTATTTAGCCCGAAGGGTTGTTTTCTTCTTACCAGAACACCATCTCTACCCCCTTTTTCCTGTCCTATGGAGTCCGTAATTACTCAGAAATGCACGAAATTCCCGACCAATCTTCGGCGTTTTGATCTAACGTTAAAAATAAATGCGGGGAAGAAATCGTTTATCAATCTGTACACTACCGTCCACAAGCGAAATATGCATTCGCGTTGCATGAAAGTTATTCAAGTATCTGCAACAGTAACTAAAATCGATTTTTTTTCTGCGAAGGTCAGAATACTAGAACGTTTTTCGATTGATAATTCTCGTTTGGAACTCGTGTCTCGATGGAAAAGAAGCTACAGACGAACTAAACCGAAACTGTCGAGTGTGTAGCGTTACCTCCATTCGCATCTCCATTGAGGGAACCTAAACATCTACCAACAGTTTACAAACACTTGAAACATATCGAAGAACCCTCTGAATACGTTCTGCACCATAGAAATGAAACACAGTAGAAATGAAAATTTTTTTTAGAATCGAAAGCGTTTCATTAGATTCACAAATTTGGACTTTGTACTTCTGGACATGAATTTTACTTTCACACTTTCGTTGTATAATTTGTAGTTAAAAATTAATTCTATTACGTTATGACACCTCGAAAAAGATAATAATAATTATTACAAATGATATGATAACCCTAAATAGCTTTCGTACAAAGTTCAACTATGTTTTATGTAACGAAACCAAGTGTTCGGATATTTATGGACGGTACGAGCCGTTCAAGAAATATCGTATTGTGAAAATTATGGGGATAGAGAAATAAATCGAAGTATTGGGAAAATATTAATTATTATGAAAGTCTGCAAGAACGATCCGAAGCGTCGACACAGGTCGAAATAAAAAAAAGAAATAAAATGGAAGGTAAGGAATACGTTGGTTAGAGATTCTTTAGAGGAACACGAAGACGAGAAAAGCTCGTCCTTTCGGCGTCCAGGGAAATCGGACAGAGAGGGTCCAGAGGAAGAAAAGTTCCGGATGTCATGTTTGGATGGGTCTTGGGGGATGAAACTGATAAGAGCGACGGATACGTGATAGATAAGAGAATTATGTTGTAGGAAGGGTTGATGGGGTGCGACGTGTTCTAGATGTACCTTGGAAATAAAATACAGTATTTAATTTCTGGTACAAAAGAAACTTCTAAAGTCTTCGAATGAAATTTTCAGCAAACTACCGAGTAATACGACGTTTTAAGCACCGACGGGAATATGGATATAGTTGTTACGAGCGGAAGAGTTATCTATTGGATAATATTGCAGGTCATTGCATACTGTAGGGACCATAAAGGGACGTTATAAAAGGGAGACATTCACGAAGACTTTATAAGGGCTATTAATATCAAATATGCGAGGAAAACCTTTATCGCGATATTAAAGGCTGTAAATGTCTATGCAAATATATGATTTTATGAAATATATTCTCGCAGGTGGTTTAAAACGTTCGCGCGATTCTAAAAATTTTTATGTTCGAATAAAAAAGGACTGCTACTTACGTCGATATTTTCAAACGTTTCTCAAATGTTTATCAGAAATGCACACTTTAAATAGCAACTGATCAAAATGATCAAAATTTTTATTCTGAATAAATGGCCACTGTTTATTATAAATTATGTGCACACACTTTAAATACCGACTGTCTGAAAATGATCAAAATTTTTATTTCGAATAAATGTCCACTGTTTATTATAAACCATGTGTACACACTTTAAATACCATTTATCTAAAAATGATCAAAATTTTTATTTCGAATAAATGTCCAGTGTTTATAATAAACTCTGTGCACACACTTTAAATACCATTTGTCTAAAAATGATCAAAATTTTTGTTTCGAATAAATATTCACTGTTTATGACAAACTATGTGCGCACACTTTAAATACCATTTGTCTAAAACTGATCAAAATTTTTATTTCGAATAAATGTCCACTGTTTATTATAAACTATGTGCACACACTTTAAATACCATTTATCTAAAAATGATCAAAATTTTTATTTCGAATAAATGTCCACTGTTTATGATAAAGTATACCCCACAATTTAAATAGAGACTGTTGAAAAATGTTGAAGAAAATGTTTTTCGTTCGAAATAAATGTGCAGTGTTTATAAAGTACACATTTAAAGCAACAACTGTCCCGAAACGTATAAAAATAGAGTTTTCCTAAATAAAAAGGTAATATCATAATCCTTCCTGTCCACGAAATTTATAAACCGTCACCCCGCGCCAAGTATAAAGTTTAAATCCGACGCTATTTATTTTGCCGACGTTCCCTCTCGCGGAAATATGATCGAAAGAGGAATTACCTCGGACAATCCAGGAACAGAAACTCGAGCAGAAACGTAGATGAATTCCGTCGTTCGACGACCTAAATTTCGTCTAGCCGAGTCCCTCGATTTCATTTTCGAACGGTAGAATTAAATTTTAAAAGCACCTCGCGGCTCCCGCCTAATCGAATCCACCGCGATTCCCGCAGTTGCAACGTGACTGAGAAATCAAATACACCCCTGGTCCACGATCTATTTATCGATCCTCCTGGCTACGTTTCTCAATCGTCCTGGTTCCTGAAATCGACGGCCAAACCTAATTCTACCTCTGACGCTAAAACCGTGAAAACTTTTCTCATTTGCCCGTATTTCTCCCGGCTTTAAATTCTGTTAACCACCTTCCTTCTGACAAGAATGTATTACACAAAGTCTATGAAATTCTCCGGATCTTACGGATTTTCTTTTTTGCTGATTCGAATTTCTCTTTCGTGTTGAAAGGGCTAGAATACTATTGAAATTCATCGATACTATTGTTCAATATTATTGAAACTCGGTACGTACAGGAGGGGTGATCAATTAGGACTAAACTGTTACAGCGATTTGTGATGCATCGAATACTCAAAGGACACCAAACCGTTATTAAATAATATTCATAAAGGATGTGGAGTTTTGCGAAAAAGTAAAAGCACTGTCCTTTAACATGCAACTCTACAGTCTCTTAATTTCTCAATACTCAAATTTCTAAATTTTTAATGAGAGAATGATAGTTTAGCACGTGACGTTCCATCGCGAACAGCCCCAAGCGCGCGAAATTACGAAGCGACCCCAAACATATCCTCATAAGAAAATCCTCAATAATCCCAAGAGAAAATTGCAGGAAAATTCTGCTGTAATTAAATAATATTCATAAAGGATGTGGAGTTCTTCAAAAAAGTGAAAGCACTGTCCTTTAACATGCAACTCTACAGTCTCTTAATTTCTCAATACTCAAATTTCTAAATTTTTAATGAGAGAATGATAGTTTAGCACGTGACGTTCCATCGCGAACAGCCCCAAGCGCGCGAAATTACGAAGCGACCCCAAACATATCCTCATAAGAAAATCCTCAATAATCCCAAGAGAAAATTGCAGGAAAATTCTGCTGTAATTAAATAATATTCATAAAGGATGTGGAGTTCTTCAAAAAAGTGAAAGCACTGTCCTTTAACATGCAACTCTACAGTCTCTTAATTTCTCAATATCCAAATTTCTAAATTTTTAATGAAAGAATGACTGTTCAGCACGTGACGTTCCATCGCGAACAGCCCCAAGCGCGCGAAATTACGAAGCGACCCCAAACATATCCTCATAAGAAAATCCTCAATAATCCCAAGAGAAAATTGCAGGAAAATTCTGCTTTCTTGTCTGAAACGGTAGCTTAAGCGAAAATACGAGTCTGTTCGCGAAACATCTGCGAGCCGAGTCGAAAGAATTTAAAGGAATAAGGAATACACGGGTCTTTCGAAGGATTTCCTTGGTCCGACGAATGCATAGACCACGAGGTAGCAGCATCGAGGGATTTTCAAAATTCCAATATCCTCGTGAACGATCGTCGTCATCCCCGAAGAAATCCGACCAGGATTTGCGAAGAACGCGACCTTCCGTTTCGTTAAGGCAATCGTCGCCGAGGAAGACAGTTACAAGGGGAAAGAGGAAGACTTTAGAAGGTTGACGAATTCCAGCTACGATTTTTACGAGGAAGTCGCGGCAGAATCCATTTTAAGACGAATCGTGATTTTTGCGGATATGTCGCAATTACAGGAACTTTTGGAAGAACCTTGTTTTCGATGGAAACCGATCGATACTGTTTTCGAAGTTAATTTTTATTTTTTCGTTTTCTCGTGATACGTGAGACGCGTTATTGACAGTTCGGAGAAATGAATACTTTCTAACACGAGACCGTAATGAAGGTAAGAACAACTTTCATTTCTCCCAGATACTCTCATTAGGTGTCAAATAAAATTGTATCTACCTTAAACTTGCGGGTCGACTTAGCTGCGGAAGCTTCAACTCACCTGAAACAGAAAATGGGCTTTGAAGCAATATGGTAACATCGATCTACTAAATAAATTACTGTAAATCTTTGACGCGACACTGAGAGTAAAATATCTCCAAAACGTCGATATGACATGGAATTTATCGGCGCGCAAAATAACCAACGATCTTGACCCCGAATCAAAACGGAACATTCCGAGTGTCTAAAATCTGATAAGCCCCAGTAATTTACCCGGGTGTTTTTGGGAGAAATCCCCGCGCGGCGGATGCTCTTCGATTGATAGTTGACCTTCGACGAACACGTTTTCGCGAACAAAACCAGACGCGATAAATTATGATGTCGAGTCGAAGGAAGACCGCAACAGGCTCACCCTTTGACCGCCATCTCAAAGGACTATTGAATCCGATTTCCGTGAGATCCGGACCTTCAAAGCGACCGATTGTTCACCCACAGACCGTGCCACTTCGATGGAAGATTTAATGAGTCAGATTCCAACTTTATTCCGCGTACACTTTGATGGCGCTATCTGCACGGATCCGATATTTCGATCGAAATTCTTTCAATTTTTACACTGTCGACTTTCAAATTTTGAAATCATTTCTAGATTTTCAAATGTACAGCTTTGTAATTCTGGAATTTTTTAACGTGACACGTGTGGCTTATAAACATAGTGAAACAAACAATAGAGGAAATTAGTAAAGAAATAACCTCAAGAAAAGTCATTTAATTTTTGAACCAAGTTTTAAAGTTGTTTGTAAGCAGTAATTACCTTCGAGTGCAAAGGGTTAACAGTGAGTGCCAATTTAGAAGGAAATCAAGAAAATAAAATTCGTTGATGAAAAGAAATACTTAACTTCTTTTCTATAGTATTGAAATCAGTGAAGAAAGTGAAAATGTGACTACTTTGTATTCAGCGATCTTTGACAATAAAAATTGCAACTGAACTTAAACTTCAATGAGACTGATCACCTTGTGAATGCACAGAGAGTTATTAGGTTGGGGAATAAGTTCGTAGCGTTTTGACATTTTCTTTTTTTACAGCGACATTTTGCAATTTGCAAGGGGTTATAATATTCATTCGATAGAGCTCTTTCTGCTCTACAAAACTGTGTTAATCGTTTTTTTCAGTAGTTTCAATTTATTGAGGCTCAGAAATGGAATATCCAGGAGATAAAAATTAGCACTTTCGACACCTGCTCTTCTTCGCTTTCCATCGCGGCCAAAAAGCTGCTGAAGCAGCCCGGGATATTTGCAATGTATACGGAGAAGGTGTCATAGGTGAGTCGGCAGCACGGAAATGGTTCGCAAAATTCAAAAATGGCGATTTTAACGT